GGCGCCGAGCCTGCCCTGACCAATCTTCATCAGTGATGCTTTGTCTCCTCTCAGAGAAATATCTAATCCATTTGTACATGGCCAACTTCTTTATTACCTTTATCCCCATAAACTTGAGCGAGCACATCCCTGATATCACTTCTACTCTTGCCAAGTTTAACAACAAAATCGCAAATGTTTGTTCATTACTCTAATTCATGCTCTGATGTTGTCATGACACACAGAAACTTGCAAAAATAATAGTAGATATACCCCAACAGACTCCACCACATACAGACTAAAACAAAACTCTGAGACACTGATATACCAATACTACGTAACTTTGCTGAGGTGTTTGTACAGTGCTAACAATGTCAGCACATGGTGGCAAGTTCACAAACTCAGCTCTCGCACCTCATCTGTATTTCTTTACAATTAGAAAAGAAAGGAAAAGAAATGTTGTTACCATTTGATATTCACACAATAGATTCACTTTCTTTATTTTTAGCGTATATTATTTCACAGCACAAACTTCAGAAAGTGAAGAGAAAAAATCAACACAAAGAAATCGCTCCTGCAAAAAGTGAGATGATTATCTTTGCGTAATAGCAAACATTTCCAGTTGAAACTTATGAAGGTGCCACAGCTCCAGCTCAGCCAACAATTACTTCTTTCTCTCCCAACATCCTCTTTGATCAAGTTTCCTATCACTAAGTAGAAAATGCACTCAGAATGGAATGTGTGCCCCTAGGGATATAAGCAGAGAGACACAGAGAGTATAACACAAAGTAACTGTGCATTAAAGGTACATTAATCAAAAGAGCATAAGTGTTAGGTACCATCAGATGAGTCTTCAATACTACTTCATTTATCGCCCTTAGGTCTTGGACAGACTGAGTCAGCTGTTGTAGGCTTTTTAACAAAAATAAAAGTATTGATTGTGTATTTGATATGTTGCTTGAAAAGGTGAAATCTTTTAAAGATTCTTTTTGATATCCATGTCAAGAAGAAACCTTGTACAGAGTGAAATGGATATGTTAAATGTATTAGAGAATGTAGGTGGTATAGAAATGAATTTTTCTTGGTGCAGAACAACTTGATTTGGCAAAGTTTAAGATTTGATTAAAAAGGAGAAGAGATTCAGGATGAAGATGGACTAATTCTAAAGGGATAAAGTTTTTTAAGTACTTGTTTCTTTTTCATGTTGTGATATGGCCAATCCTAAGAGATTTTGCTGAGAGCTTCATTTATAAGTTCTCTTTTATCTTGTTAGTAAACATTCATCTGCAACAAAGTTTGGAAGGTGCTGAATGCAAAACAAGAACACATGGCCACACAGTTATTGCATTTTGGACCTATTAGTGTGTATTGGACCTAAAATCAAATACCCATAATTGCCTAAATATTTAAGAAACCATTCTTATTGAAAAGATTTAAATTCCCTAGTGTCCCGTTTGCTATTTATATAAGATGGAGGTTCATATTTAGCATAAGCATCTGAGAATGAAAAGCCTTCATTTATAAGCTAATACATGAATTTGTTACTAGAAATGCATGAATGCAATACTAATACATGAATTTGTTACTACTGTTACCAGTAGCTCTACACAATATTGAACTGCTACAGTGTTCAAGAAAATGAAATCTCTTTTTTGTTGGTGCTGAAAGAACATCTAGGTAGAAGAAAGTTACAATTGAAGGTTGAGTATA